GATGACGTAAAAATTTTGTCCAAAACAGGGGCACACACAGCAAAGAGAATAGATCCTAGGAAAAAAGAAAACATTTTAAATTTGGCTTTCCGTTCTGTGAAAGGCGCGCCGCTGAACGAGGTTCAGTTCGGTAGGGCGGATGGAAAGTTTAAGAGGAAGAGAAGCCTGAGTCGTGCGCAAATTGAAGCTGGGATTAAGACGTCGGGCGAGATTAAGGTTTCCATGTTGATTAATTTAAATAGTTCCGCCGTCGCTCCGCGGAGAGACAAAAGCATACCCGTAACCGTAGCTGCGCCAAGCGGCTGAGGTATATAGGGAAAGGATGCATGGTAAACAACTTACTTTTCACAGTGCAGAAGCAACCCGGAGAATTAAGGAACGTAATACAGAGTTAAACGAAGCGCACTTGGGTGTCGACCTGCTTTACCTGTAAACTTGTTCGGATTCAGATGTACTTATCTATTTTTTTTTCCCGTCATTTACATCTAATCTAGCATCTGTTTGGAAAATAGGAATTATTTTGATTATTAAACGAATAATAAAAAATATAATAAAATCAATATCATAGAAAATCAGACCACAGTTGGAGGGATAACGAAAAATAAAAGGAAGTGTATGTTTTGATACTCTTTGAGCAATAAATTTCTTCTGAAGTCTTATCAACGTTCATCATAATTCTACCATCATCTTGTACTGTAAAATACGCTGTTGATAGTTCGTGGAAAATGCAGCGAATTTTTTGCGCTTTACGCTCCGTAAAAAGAAATTATTATGTCGCTGTATTTGTTTAGTCTCTTAATATCGGCTAGTTTATGAAACTGACTTCAGATTTTTCATGTGTTTTTTTCATATGCTTTTCAAACATGCACGAATTTAAAATATTTTTAATATTAGAAAGAAGAAACATGCATTTCAAATTAAATAATTTTTTTATGTAAAAGATATTATCTTGTAAACAAAAATGTTATGACAATTCAATAAATTGACTGTTTTTTAGATAACTGATATTGACAGTGCGAAATTTAATTATTTTAAATAATAGAAAGAGTATATATACTACCAAGCGCAGTTATTGTAATATTTTTTGTGATGATACGTCGTAACGGCTTATTTTTTTACAGAAATCATAATATTAATACAGCGATTCACAAAAATAAACCTGACATGATTTCAAAATTTGTTTTGAAAACGCATACTGTTAGAATATCAAAGAAACAATGGGAGCCCAAACTTGAGTTAAATAACATTCTGTTATTTTCAATTCCAAAATGTGTCAAAATGTAAATCAATCCATTTCTGGTTACTTTCGACGTAAATAACGTTTATTTAATATATGCATTTAGTAAATAATAAACTAAATTCGAGTCAAATTTAATACATTTTCTCAAGTTAAATTGTTTAACTCTAATGTTTTAGTTAAATTAACGACATATTAAATAGGAGAATTGGCAATTCATAGAAATGATTTTAAAAAATTCAAATTAAGTGAATTTGAATTTAACAGTGCAGCGCAATTTTTCAAGAGTGTCAACAGTGACCGTCATTTCGATCGATTTCATAAATGGAGACTGGTAGGAAAGATTGTAAGGCAAGAAAAGATAAGATGGAACGTTCAAAAGAAAAATAAAAAGACAGAAAAGGAAATCTTTATCGCCGATCAAGTGTAGCGATTGCTTTTTTAATCACGTTGTTATAGTTAATAAGCGATAAATACCAAAGAAAAGCGATTGTCTTCTTTCGCGTATCATCTGAGATACGACAAAGACTGTATCCATTTAATCTGGTTAAGAAAAAAGTAAAAAACGTATTACTTTCTTTGATAGGTATATAGATCAATATCAAGCTTCTGATGTCTGTAATGTACCATAAAAAGAGTAAAAGATAAATTCATAAAAATAACAATTTAATAAATGTAATAATATTTCTATCAGATTTTTTTATTAACAATGAAATGCATCATCTTATTCTTAATCTTTATCATTTCGCAGAAATAAGGAAAAAAAAAAAAAAATAAAAGCTGTAAGAATTTCTATATTTCTATAAAAGCTATATAAATTTTTATACTTTGAAAAGTTAAGAATAACAGATTGATAAATATTAATTTACACATTTCTATTAAGGATATAAAATTATCCGTTAACGTGTACGTGTATTTTAACTGTTCTCCTGAAATCGTTGAAAGGACGAATAAATTCAGAAGCCATAAAAAAGAATTTATTTGATTTCCCGAAATATCAAGTGCTATATATTTTGTACTGGGAAAAGTTCGCGGTGAGCATGGAGCTATCGTGATCAGTGCTCTCGGCGGATTCGGTCGTTAGCAGTCTTTAGAAGGAAGTCGAGGGTAAGGCGTAACGGACGGACGAAGAGTAAAAGGAAGGATGGAACGGGGGAGGAAACTCTCTTTCGCTCTCTCGGACAAGGGCCGCGCGTGTTCTTTTAGCCGCGTTGCCTCAGCAACAGAGTACCTTCCGTCTCGCTGACCTGCTGTTTCCGGTGACACCGATGGTCTTTCCTTTTCTCGTCATTTTGCCGAGACCGGCGCGCTTTTCCGAAGAGAAAAAAAAAAGTATACAATCAACTCTGCGGGAAAGTGTTAAGGGTCGATGCGATTATCGTTCAAAAGTAACGGTATCTCAGAATTTTCTATTTCTGTTATCAGTTTCGGCGACGTAATAGTTTCATATCCTTTATGATTAAGGAGATCACGTGATCATCGTTAGTCGATCGCTGCGGCAAATTGCGCGATGATATGTCAATAGAATGTCTCGTATGTATACCTCGTACCGAGGTTGAATTATCAAACAAATGAGCTTTACATGATGGTAACAATGTTGTCTTATACCCGGGTACTTTGCCGATAGATAGGATTCAAAATAGAGACGCTATCGTGCGGCATAACTATAGAATGAGATCGATATTCCTGAGCCGAGTTCAAGATCCTCGAGAAAAGATCGACGAACTCGCGTGGCTACCTATGAATGCGTAATGCGAAGCAAGAATCCCATGTCAATTACTACAAATAGTTAATTAATATTATGTAAGACTATACGAGACAGATATTCATTCGAATCGCTACACTGTACAGATATATTCCTAATTCGAGAGAGTTTAGTTAATTAAACACGATAGAGAACGCATTAATAATTTCACCGTGGGAGCCTCTTAACACTGGGCACGCGACATAAATTGGATAATTCAAGCTTCGAGTGATGTTTCATAAAATATCGATATTATTTTATTATTCATATCGTGTATACGTGATGTAGGTATATATTTTTCAAATCTTTATACATATAACGAACTATCGAAATAATAATTTTTCTAAAATTATATACGTATAATTAATGCGACTGTACTATTTCTAAATTATTCGTGTACTCTTCTTTCAAAAACTTAATTACAGATAAGAACATTTTTCGCATCTATAAAATTATGCAAAATAAAATCTCAATAAGAGAGAGATATCAGCTATATTATATGGCGGAGTAGCTCAGAAGCATTCCGCGTGCAAACGATGAAATATGAATTGCGGCACGTAGTAGGCCATTAGCTGCTTGAGAAAAGAAAGTAGGAGGAATGCTGAGGGACGGTAATGAGGTAGAATAAAGAGCGAACTAATTCGAAATTTCGTGCGCGTCACCGACGGCGATCGACCGGCACGCTTGGCGCGAGAAGGGACGGAGGAGCGAAATGGAAATGCCGGGACGGGGCCTGTTCAACATTCTAAATATTTTAAAAGTTCAACTCATTTGAATTGGAACATCTTTAGACGTGTCTCTTTCTCTACCTCCCCTGCTCTTTCTCAACTGCCTCCCATCGGTTGGATCGTCGCGGAGTTTTCTCTGTACTTATCGCGCTTTCCACTGCGCTTTCCACTGCGCTTTCGGCCGTCTTCTCTTCCCGACCGATTGATTTAGATTCTCGAAACTTTTTGCACTCGAGTTTTGTAGCGGAGATATTCTCCATGACCACAGAGAAAACGGTGTTTGGCTCATTCGCTTAAAACCCATTATCGAGTACGGAATGTGTGTTTTTGTACTTTGTATTTATATAATGCCAAACGTTAAAAATATTAAAAATAATTTTGAAAAATATTTGTCAATAATTTTGACGTCTTTTTTGTAAAAATCATGCATTATCCATTTGACTTCCATCTTTCGGTGCCACTCTAACGATTAACTTTCTTTTTCCAATGTTTTTCCAAAGCTTTTTCCATTACTTATAATTATTTTATTATTAAAGATACATTTGCTTGGTATTGTTATATTTCTTAACGTCTGATGCTCGAAAAAATAATTTTTTACAATACGAAAAAAATGATTTTGTTGAAAGATTTAAATTTTTTGCTGGATATATAGACTTAAAAATAATTTTATTAAACCATGAAAATAATTTTGTTGGAAAATCAAATTGGAATATTAAATTTTTTGCAGCATTATTCATCATTTATTAATTTCCAACATAATTATTTTGATTATGTTGGTCCAATAAAATTATTTCCAAGTTTGTATCTAGAAAAATTTCAGATCTTTTAATAAAACCATTGTTTCCGTAATCATTTTTATAAAAGCTATAAACAATCGACTTGCAATACCCAAATGTATTGTTCCCATAGAGCAGCACCGAATGATTAATCACGTAAAATCATTGTTTACGCAACGATAATGAAATTTGCGAGGCGCGATGATGGTTGAAAACCATCGAACGTCGCGCGATGTGTTCACAGTTTCAGAACAAATCAGTCGCGGGCCATCGATTCTTTGTAGCTGCTAGGGCTTAATTCAGTCGCGTAAAGCCCAGCCACCAGGTAAAACCGATAAGGCCGACCGATTTGCTGCCCTTAGCGAAAAATCCGCTTACTCGTTCGAGCCCTTGCGAGAATCTATGTTATTCCGGTTGGAATATGGATGTGTCACATTTGCGAGTCGCACGAGAAACGACGTCGCACATTCGCGTATACGGATTGGCGAAATTCGCGGGGAGGCGTACTAACTCACCTGGTCACGGTTGGCGTGGAAGCGACCCCCGGGGATCGTGCTGGATAACTCCGTGGACTTCCTGACATCAAGTACTCTGCAACACACAGCGAAACGTTTGTCCTTAATGCTCTGCTGCATAAAGTCACACTCGACGATCGAGTAACGCATTCGTCTTGCACCGGTTAACGGCGATATACAAACGCCGCTTTCTAAACTACCAACCGCGAGTAACCGCGAAGTGCGATTACAAATATTCGCTAACATTCTACCAGTGCCGATGTAACAATTCTATCCAAGACACATTAAAGGCCGCAACAATTATAATTTTAACAATTCTCATCATTATTTAATAATTTGCAAACAGATAATTAGCATGAAATTATGTTCTTCGATTAATCCGATGGTAATGTTAGATATTCCCCTACATCACTCTGCTCTAAAGTATAATGTAGCGCGAACAGAGATTCTTCGATACATTCCGAGCGTGTTCCAATTTTCTGTGCATTTGATTCATGGCTGTTGCATACTGCGGCATTTCGCTGAAACATATGCCGCCGTAACTACTGCTTAATTACTTAGACAGGTAACAGGATCTGCGGCGGACGCAGATATTCCTCTACTCTCAGCAACTTGACCTGTGTCATGCGACGAGATAATTGAGTTTATTAAACGCAAGTTGTTCTCGTATTCGCAAGTGCTTTAACCCTGTTTCGAGTATAGTGCCCGTGGAATTATTTAAATGGAACGATCAAAACGGATGCGTGCTTACATTGTTTCTAATTATAGCTTAGATTTCTACATCCTGGAAATAATCAAATGATTGCGTTCAGCAAAGAAAACTGGATCAGGGAGCGCTCAGTGATCAGTTTTTTTTCTATTGAACGTAGCCAATATAATATAAAAGTAGAAAAACTGAGGACCACGTCGATAGAATTGACAAGACAATTTAATTAATCGAAAATGTCTTGGGTTTGTGTTGAAGATGTGCGGATTTATGCCAACAGGGAAATCAGAATAGTGATAAGTGCAATCGTCGAAGCGAATTTGTAGAGGCCCAGGGTATCAACGAGTAGCGACGCGCGCGCATGCATAATTAATTTTCAAACTTTCTTTCCTGCCCGATGGCAGGCTGACGTTGCCATTCGATTTAACCTTCGTTCGCCGTGCGTGGTCTCCGGTCTGTCGGTTCGTAGCGTCATGCATATTCTAGTTGATGGGTCGTCGCGAGCTGCCTTCCTTTTATCTGTATAGTTAATGCGTTCATGACTAATGTAACCGTCAGTGACGTCCTGCTATCGACCGCATTCGTCTGATGCTCGTCTTGGTCGCCAGCACAAGATCGCTAAATCTCTTTATCGGATAATGCTTAATATTCTCTGTCCGTAAACGTCATCGACGTCGAATTCTTCCGGAACATTTAACTGTAGTATACGCGTTTTTATTGTGTACAGTTCATTTTTTTTTTTACGTACACAAAGCATTTACAGAGATATCTCTTCCCATTGATAACTCCACACAAAGATAATCACCGGATTGTATTCTGTCTTTTAACAAAAACGATAACAAGCTCTTTTTTTCGAACAATTGTAACTCAAAACAGTCAAAACGAATATCTTTGTTGAAAGAGAGATTTTCACATAACGCGAAAATTGGCTGTTGAATCAATAACGAGGCTGAATATAATGGGAGTTAGCGAGTGAGTCTAGGGGAAGCGGTTGCAAAATAAAAAAAATAACAAGGATAGTTTGTTCGTTCGTTTACTTTGATATACTGACGCTACATCGGTTTTGGCCCATAAGGTTCTTCTAACCACCGCTTCACCCTCTTATTTCTGCAGCAATTTGTCACTGTCTACGTCCCGAGGATCTTTACTTTATACGCTGGATTCTAAGTATAACTCACTACGCACTGATAAGTAACATCATTATATTGTTTTATATCGATTTCTGTATTTATGTATTTAAAGCAAAATGTTGAATCTTTTTCAATGTACAATAAATTTTTATTTAAATCCAATTGTTTACACTGAAAAAAAAAAGGTTGCAATTATCACAATTTAACTACAATTTATAGTCATTTTTTTGGGACAACCGTATATTTATAGTTTTAACTATGCAGATGCCATTAATTGTGCTATTAATAATAGTCACACCCCGCTTAAAAATATTTATTTTATTTATCATCTATATCTTGATATTTCTTCACTACATTAATATTTGAAATTACCATAACTTATTAGTACAATTTTCTCACACGTTTAAGAGAACTACATATTTGTATATATATATATATAATATATATGTGGTTATTATTACATTATAAGAATAATAACCATAAAAATGGAGCTAATTATTTTACCAGGCAATTATAGTCACAAATATCAAGTATTTTCCTCTTAATGTAACGTTTAATCACAACTATAATGTAAAATACGACGATAACGCGGCGATTCGTTTGACATACGAAAGTGGTAAAGCGTTCCGCTGCTGATCATTAACACCACCAATCCAAACTGAACCTTAGACTGAGTTTGCTACCGAAATCTGCGAAATGGGATCGTTATGTCATTGACACGGCCTTGCCATTCGTCACTCGCAAGCTCAAAGGCTCACTTGCAACACACAGGATGTAACGTTTCCTTTGTAATTCTGAGCATAAATTGGCGCGTGTCAGATGCGAATGAGTCGATTCTGAACCGCGCGCGCGTTCGTAGGTGGATAGGTTTAGGTATAGAAACCTCTATCGGCCGGAGAGAGTCCTGACAGCTGGGAGCACAAAGCGACGGGTTCATTCTCGCAGGGCGAGAGGTTGGTTGCCAGGCTGCCGAGGCTTAGCAGCCATGCCGGCTACCGTTTGTTTCGTCCGGTAGTCATGGTGATAACACGGAGAAGGTGGGCGCAACTGATCGAGGGTTCTCCGATATCTCGCATATTTTCTAGCAGCCACCCTCTCGGCGAGAGCGACGCTCCTGGCTCGCTGGACCACCCATCGAGAATATTAACGCCCACGAAGGGATGTGTCGCATGCCTCTATCGGAGTACTTTTGGAAAAAATAAGCTGTGTCGAGTTGCAAACGCGAATAAAACGAACATATCTATTGATAATGCCATTGGAATGAGAGTAAGTTACTATTGTGTAAGGATTTACTGTATTTTCATATTGACTTCCCTAAGACAATAATTCTTCTTTTGTAAGTATGTGCTGATAACGACGTAAGAATTGCTTTTTATCGTGAGAAAAATGAAGTTAATTGATTATCTTTTAAACACGCCTTTTTAGCATATGGCACATTCGACTTTTTTTCCAATTTTTTTTCCATTACAATGTTTATAATTTTTTTTTATTAAAAATACTTACGTTTGCTTAGTATCGTTATGTTTTTTAATGTTTGGTGGTTTAATTTTTTTTTATTGAAAAAAAGTGTTTACAATATGTTCATTTTTATAAAAGATGTAAGCAGTCGAATTAAGTTGAGTATGATATATTCAAGTGTGTTTAAGGTGTTCCCTAAACACACTTGTGTGTAGTGTTTAAGAATTAGCTATGTCCAAACTTAAATAAATTCTATGATTAAATATATGTATATACATGCTAATAAAAAATGTCACTTTCCAAGATTATTAAAAATATTCTACAAGCGCGATTGAAAATGACCATTCATAAAATAAAACATGATTGATATAATATCATTATTGCAAAGAAGTTGCGAATTTCTTTAATTTTTCTTCTATTATTATATATAAACTTTCTATAGATCTTCATACGGAACGCAAAAATTTTTGCGCAAGCTAAATATTCTTGTCTAAGAAGCTCGACGAACGATGCGATCAAGTTAGTAATGAGCGATCATTATTGTGTAGCGATCCTTAAGAGAGATTTCAATTCCTCTTTTACAGTCGCTCCAAAGATACTTCCGAAGTTTTCCTTCATTAGTATTTGTTTCGGCTGATTTTAGAAAAATTCTCTTCGATACGAGTTGCTCGTCGGTAGGGAACGATCGATTACGTTCTATCTACGGGAACTAAAGTCTGGCCAACCAATCTTTCGTTCGAAAAAGTGTCATTATCTGCTAATGGCACAGCAGCAACTAGGTCGATGCGCTTGGTCGGTTAATGACGTGACTTTCGCATTTTGCCGATGGACTGTACCGATTTTATCTACGTGCTCCGATTTTACCTGATGTCCTCTCGAAGATTCGCGAGCGCCGTAACCACCCCCCGCCCTCCTCCGGACAACAGTTCTTTAAGGGTTAAGTTCGTTTTTATTGTTGTGCCGTATTCTTATCATGTTACTTCTTTACTTTCGAGAATCAATTTGCTGCAAGACAAAATATCTCCGGGATCTACGCGAGAGACAAGCCCGTGCGAAATATCTTCGTGTAAGAACATTGCCGACCCACATACGTCGCCATCAGAACGTCGTCAAAGAGAAACGAACATTGTCGCGGTTACGATAACTAGACTGGAAATTACGTAAGTGGAATTAAGTAAGAAAAGTAAATCCCATCGCGATAATCTTTTCCAGCACTAGGGATGCTGACAGAGCGTGCCGACTAATAGCTCGCTAAAAAGCGCGCAATTCAGTAGTTGGGTAGCATGCTTGAATCAAGAAAGACTTCTCGTAATCGAGAATGTTGGCTGATCTGTTCTTTACTTAATCACTCCACACGACTTTCTTAACGAAGATGAACAATGTTCCGAGTGGAAAACTAGACGTCGAATAGGGACGATCGAACAAGGTTGTCAGAGCTGAAAATGTCGCTGAATTCGGGAAAGACAATGAAAGACAAGAGTGATAACGAAAGTGATAAGGAAAGTGATAGCGCGGGAGTAACAGGGTGTAGTTAGAACGACAGCCGAAAAGGTGATCGTAGAAAGGGTAGAAACATAGTTAGAAAATGGAATTTGAGGATGAGTCGAAGTGAGGCTAGGCGAGGCGAGACGAAAAGAGGGTAAGGGCGAAAGGCACGTAAAGACAAGAGAAAAAGATCAGAGATAGGTACGTAAGTCCCTGGATGGAGTGGATACAGTTGAGTCTGAGGGTTTCTTGGTTGTTGGGTGTTTGGCTGTCGGCCAGGGAATCTCTGGAGCGCGA